CCCAAAACCATCAACCCTGAACCCCAACGGGGGCCTCCTTGTGGCCGGCCTTCCATCCCGCTCGCTGGCACGCCGGGCCTCGTTTTTTTGATGGTGCGTCTCTCGATTTGGGGATTTAGGGCTTGCGGGCTTTAGGGTTTTGGGCGGTTTAGGAATTCGGGCATGGGGCTTTCAGGTTTCATGGTCTTTGGTTCGCTCTTGTGGTGCCCGCCTTTCCGCTCTTTCGCGCCTCTTCTCTTCCTGTTTCGTTGTTTGGGCCTTAAGGTTACTTAGTTGCTGGGTTCATAAGCCCCCCAAAAGTGTACACTTTCAGTTCTATAAGGGATCATACTATCCCAAAAAGTGTAAAGCGTATTCACCCAGCTACTAAGGTGAGGACATGGGCAACGAAATCGAGGAGGCCTTAGCGCATGTGGGCTCGGAAGGAATATTCCTTAACTTCTGGTTTCAGCGCAGACACTAAATCCTAAACCCTAACAGATACTTCAAGGAGTTCCGATGTGTTCCGCGTGTGCTTTTGGATTTGTTGCTATGCTGAAGAGCATTCCGATCTCGAAGTTCGTTTCCTGGCATCAGGCCCATCGGCTGAGTAAAAGCTTGCATCAACAGCTAGCCCGAAACAGCCCCTAAACCGTAAACCCTAAAACCCTTAAACCCTAAAACCCTAAACCCAAAGCTCTAAACCCTAAACCCCAAACCCCTAAACCCTCAACCCCTAAACCCCTAAACCCTTAAGTTTAAGCCCGGCTTAAAAACGCAAAACCGACAGAGATCGGATGAATGGGGGGGAGCGGTTCTGAGGTCTCATCCCGATCGTTCTAAGCACCGCACCGCAATAACGTGCGGCTTTGCATCGTGCGCACACCTCGTGAGACAAGGTCTGCGAATCCGGGGAGGTTCTTGTTTGTATGGAGTATTGAAACCGGGATTGGGTTTGGGGGGTATCAGAGTAATGTTGTGGTTAAGGCTGCCTAATCCTTTAAGGTTTAGGGTGTCAAGGCTCAGAGATGTAGGTCTTAGGTCGACCTTACAGTCGCAATTGCATCCAAAATGGCTATTGCCTTGACTGCGGTAATGGTGGTGGTTGCGTTCTCGGCAGGATCCTCCGACGTCATTTTTTCCCTGGAGACTTCCATGCTGCTGTATGCTGCCTACAAGCACCCAGGCTATGAGATTGACAACCAGCAAAGTTTCTGGGAGTCTGCGGCCCTCAATGACGGGAAGAGGTTCCTGTGAAGGTTCCCTTTGAAGGCTTACTACAAGGCTTTATTCCAGTTTAGGGTTTAGGGCTGCAGTTTTAGTAGCGAGCCCGTGCTACGAGTGTTTTACCCCTAAAAACCCTATAAAATCCCTGACGAACACCATAATTAACCCGACCCCTACATTGGCCTTGGGGTGTCAAGGGGCGCCCAAAAGCTTTGCAGAACCCTAAACCTCTAAAGCACTAACTCCCAAACCCTAAACCGCCAAAC